TACACCCGAAAATGGAACTCATTCAAACAAATAATTTTTCTTATTTCCAATTTTCCCCGGTTCGAAGTTATTAGCGCAGCACTCTTATTTTCAGAACCAATGAAAAAAAAACAAACGTTATTTTCAAAACTATCATTCAGCTCTTTAAAACAGTTGTATTTACAATTATTTTTTTTTTAAATAATAAAATAGCCATTGTTCAAAAATTTCAAAAAAAGATTTTTTGATAAGCACCCCAACGAGTTTTGAAAGTAAACCATTTATGAAATCCCTACACTATCTACTACAATATTTGTCCTAAACACTTTTTCAATTTATTTTCAATTTCTATTTTCAAAATGCCCCCTCCGCTTCACAGGATAACTTGAAAAAAATGTTTAGGACAAATGTTGTAGTACCTACTGTAAGGATTTTATGGTTTACTTTCAAAAGTCGATGGGGCGGTTATCAAAAAATGTGTTTTTGAAATTTTGAATCGATCGCAATTCTATTGTTTAAAAAAATAAAAAGTTTTTGCAAATACAAATGTTTTAGAGAGTTGAAAGATAGTTTTGAACATTTTTGTTTTTTTTTAATACATAGGTCCTGAAAATGAACGCCCATAACTTCGATCAGGGGCGAAATTAAAAAATTGGTACTAAGAAAACTTGTTTGCTTTAATGAATTCTAACTTCCGTTTTCGAGTGTAATGAGTTAGTATTATCACCCTGTATGTATATGTATGTTTGTATTTCCTACCGTCCAAATGCCGCAAGTCCGTACACGGGATATTCCTGACCGGGACGCATATTCGAATGTTACATGCGTTCCGTCGGTTCGGGTTATGCCGAAGCGGAACTCGAATGTTACATGCGTGCCGTTCCGGAGCGCGCGTAACATTCAAGTTGTACGAGTATTTACATCTACCAAGCTAGCTTTGCCCTTTTAGGTACGGTTATGACTATGAGATTAAGTGTGAATAGAAAGGATACGGAATATGATACTTCTAATTGCTCTTAAATTTAAATGATATTCGCAAATGGTGATTTTTGTGTTTGTCACTGACAATATATACGAGTCGAGTATTGCGAGTATTTATATTTATTTTGTTTAGAAAATTTTTATTAACATTGTACTGTGTACGCAAGTTTATTTTTTGGATTTGGTTCCACCAAGTGAAGCATTCCCTTCAATGCATGCTGATAGATTGTGGGGAGTTATAGCACTTTGCTTCTTGCTTGCCTTCGATCTTCTTCCAATCAATCTTCGTTTTCCTCCTCCCATATTGACTCATTTACCTATAGATTTTCATTAAATATCTTAACAAATCCACAATTTGATAGTGCGCACGCGCAAAACAAATTTTTTTGAATTGGCATTCGTTTTACTTTTATTCGAGATGCCTACATACAAAATTTCATTTAAATATCTTAACAAAAACAAAAAATCTTTAATTTTGATGTATTTGTTTCTATACTTTTCGCTCATTGATAGAGTCGAAACACCCTCTAAAAGTTTAAAGGGGAAATAATTTGAAAATGATTGTGACCGTTTTACGTAAAATATGCGAATAAGTTACCCATCATTAAAGGCTGCACTTAGGAATGAACAATGGTTTACTACTCGCTCAGTATAAACGTAAACAATAATAACTATAAGTGTAAGGAAAAGTAGATACTCAACTTCTTCCTTACTTATCAATTGCAAGAACACTGTTTTTTTAAATGTATTTTATGAGACGCGTTAGGTAATTTACGATTCATTATTAATCTTACAATAAATAATGCCTTTTATGTATAACTTTATCCTTTAGCATACGTAATGTACGTACATACAATGCGCATGTGATGCTTTGTCGCTCGATTCTGCTACACGCGTTTCAGAATGTTACACGCGTTCCAGAAGGGCACGCATGTAACTTTCGAGCTCCGCGTCGGCTGAACTCGAAGCGACGGAACGCATGTAACATTTAAATATGCGACCGGGACATAAATATGCAGAAGCATGATTCAGTAACCAAATTTTGAACCTGGTGTTAGATTTGATTTTATTCTAATATAATATTATATGTGTATCAAAGTTCATTTAAATCCTTCGTAAATAATAAAATTGGATCTGCGCATGCGCAAAACCAAATTTGAAGCCGGCGTTAGATTTGCTTTTATTCCAAGTGCCTACGTATCAAATTTCGTTTAAATATCTTTATAAATTATAATTAAGGGCAGACGCACGGACCTGAGGGATGGACAGACACAGCAAAATTATCAACTAGCCAGCAGCTCGTTAATAAATGTACATTCATGTTCATTCATCTACATTCCAGATGACTCTAGCCAATGTAGGCGGTCTGTCCATTGTCCGGTATACAGGGTGTAGCATTTAAGACCCCTCGGATCATCAAGGAGCAAAATTGTCCACAATTACCGTCGCCACATGCTTTTTAATGCAACACTCCATATTTCATTGGGGAATTGGAAAGTACTTGAAGAGTACTGTTTTACGTAACATATTATAACCTTCACCTTAAGATTTCTCTGTTATAACCTTTTTTCTTCAAAATTTCACCGTTTTTCGAATTTTTTCAGAGAAACTCCTGAAAATAATTGGCCTGGCTCGCTTGCTTTATAAAAAGCAATTTTGTCCAATTGTTCAAAAATAGTTCATAACTTACAAAAAAAAAAAACGGCGTACATTTCTGTCGATATATCCGAATTTTAATTGCAAGTAAAAATCACAATTTATTGTGATGTAGCATATCTGACAGATTTTGAATGTTATCATTTATCGCAGATATGCATTTTATAAAAGGAGAAAAACGTCACTGGAAATATTTTCGCGGGAAGTGCAGCAATTCAAATTACACAAAGCCTCGCTATTGATCGTGCATAAGTGTATGGTTTGGCTTTCCTCGAAAGAGAAAAGGAACGTGGCGAAATTTTAGCTGAGGCGGCAGAACGAAATTTGCTTTTGTTTTTTTTCGTAAATACAGGTAAATGTATCCTTGTTTTCCTTTGTAATTACTGTAATTAGCATAGGATGTATGGTAATTATTGGTGACTTCGAAATTCAGTTACGATGTTTGCCATCGTCTTGTAGGATGGGTCAGGATGTTTCTGTTTGTTCTATGTGCGGGCGTAATATGTGTATTTAATTTAATTTGTTTACAATGGTATTTTGCCACTATCTTATTGTGGATAAATCCAAATGTGATTATTTTTCATGTCTTCTGAATTTTGACGTTGTTTGAATACTGTTATGAAATGGTCCTCAAAACTCCCTAACTCTTTATTATAGTATTACAGAATGTTGGTGCCGTGGCTAGGATTTGACCTTGGTCTACTATAGTACGTCGATGGGTTATTCAGGATTATTCCGTACCTTCGCCAACTCTGCCTAACGAATCCCTAATAATCCCCCAAAAAAATCCTTTCTTGCATAAAATTCCGCTTAATTCTGTCTACTAACCGTGACTTCAATGAAACATGTAGGTAATTAAATTGTGCCAAAAATACGTGTGATCTCAAAATTGAGGGAATGTAGATATGGGGGAGGAATAAAATTGCAATTTCCTTAAATGGAAAGCGAGACTATCCCTTTTGGGAGTAACCGAAAAAATAAGCTTGCTTAAACAAGACCACCCTCCATCATTACAACACAGGTTGGAGTTCTGATTTGCGGAATTTAAATAGTACTCTGGAATTTATGTGCCCCATCTTTGACTCCTTTTTATTTTAATCTTATGCATTAAGCGTAAAAAGAGGGGTTATGGGAGAAGTCCGATTATTATCCAAATTCAACTCATTCAAAGATGGCTAATACATTATTTTGCAGATTTGACTTGAGAAGGATTCTTCTGTTCTCGTAGAAACTGAAGATAGTACCAGAAATTGCGAAATTTAATGTGAATCTTGGATATGGTCCGTGACTATTAAGCTATTTTGTGGAAATTGGTGGAAGACTTTGATTAATTATTGGTAAAAAAAAGAGGTTACTCATTTTTTTATGCCTGCTTAGAGTCTTATGTATTTATTTTACATGTTTAGTTACAATATGTTCCAAATGAAGCCATATTCATCCTAAAAATATGAAGGAGCGAGGATGCGGTGTACACTACTGGTAATGATTGCAAGTACTCACAAATTAAGGGTGGTCTCGCGGGTAAGTACGAATAGCCTCTATGCCGAAAATGTATCTGAAGGGTCACAATGTAGATATAAATTTTCCAACCCCAATTAGTATCTAAAATAAAGCTTATAGCAAATTCCACCGATATTTCCATTGCACATTCTTCCGGCGTTCTTTTCCTCTACCGTACAGTAGGTAGGTACACAAATTTTAAATGCTAAAAGACATTGACAAATTCGAACGCCTACTACAAAATGTAGAGCTGCCAAGTCTCAAAGGAAATGTGCCGAAACCTATTTGATTAATTGAGAAATAAATAAATTATAGAATTACATTTATCTCACCGACTTGATTTAACACAATCTTTACTAGAGTCTCCTCTTGTTAACATTGCTATAAGTTATAAATTACGGTAGTCAAATAGTTGCGTATGTGTGTACACCTTGAATTTTTAACGAGGATTACAAACAGGTGCACGCGTTTAATCATATACCTTGTAGAAGTGACAGAATTTATGCTTGACTAGATTAAGGTTGTCTAAACAAAATATTGTTAACCAAATAGCAATCTCTCAATTAACAAGCTCGCAGTTCGACGCTTTGGCAAAAGGCCAATGCTGAAGCCCACCCAGGACCCAGTGCTGATAGCTATATAAATGGTGTTGGTCATAGTGACAATTTTACCAATTCACGAGCTGCGGAATATATTGGTATGCATAAAGGTGGTCATCAATGTCACCTAACATTTAACGACTAAAGCTTGTCTTTTTACACTTCGTTTGAGTTTCCGTACGAAAATAGTTTAACGGCGTTGCAAAATGAAATTTACGACAACTCGAATCTAAAATTATTCTCTGGATAATTAGCCTAAAATAATTCTAGTTGTCAATTAGATTTTTATTCGTTTATACGTATAAGTAAACCCAGCGAACTTACCAGTTGATTTTGATAAGCCGTGACAGCTGTGAACACCGTTTCGGGAAAGATGAATGTTTTGTACTCTTCCTGCTCCAAATCGATTATTGGCCCAGACGCACTGTCTGATCTTTTCACGAGGTGAATTCTAGGCTGGTATTTATGCATGGAATTCAGAACGAGCTGAAAGCGAAACGTGTGAAATGGAGCTCGGCTTTTTTTGATCGACTTACATGTCCGTGCTTGTCCATCTCGTTGTTCGTCAGTTTGACTTTTTCAAAGGAGACGACTTGTTTACGTAATTGTTCTCCAGTGTAGGGAGAGTCTGGGTGAGCATAGAGCCTACAGGGTGCAGGTGGATCGGCTTTTCCCGCGACCAACCAAGAGGAACGGTGATAAGCGTAACGATAGCGTTTGTTATCAACGGGGACGATGTCCAAAATAACAACGTACCGCTGCTCGGCCCGAATACCCGTAAAGGATACCCTTACGGTAGGAAACATCCGCCTGAAACAAAGATTTATATTTAGTAAGTTCTGTAATGCCGGCATCATTAGGGCAGAAAATATTATAATACCAGCGCTTTGATACAACGGAAATTGTAATTATCTTGCATAGTGGTAATAAATGCGTTCTTGAGCAGCTGAAGTGCGACCATCGTGGATCATTTGTGATGTCGCCCGCTCTGCTGCTTCTAACATTTTTGCTCTAATTAAAACATACGAGCTGAGTTGATGGATTAACACAGACCGCCCGCAATAAACCGGTAAAACGCATAGATCCGCTAGTTTATATTTGTATATTACTGACACATGATTTAATAGAGTTCGCCTTAATTTACTGTGAGACGTTCTCTTTTTTTACCCACAAAACGTCCAACTGCAAAATTATTATCAAAGGAAATACGACATTATTTCAGGCTCTTAAGCTGATACGGTTCATTTAAGCGTAATTTTAAGGTAATAAAGCATAAACTGGGGGACGGCGTATGTCGCCCTTTGAAATATTAATTAAATTAGCGTCACAAAAATATTGTCAGGAACTGCAGTCCGAACTGGAAAGCCTAGGCATACCTAAGAATGCATAATGAATCCACTTCAGACAACGCGAAAGATCAAAAATTCTCTGAGCACTTGGTATTTCGTTAAAGCAATAAAAATCCTAAAATATGCAGATGAAAAATGAGATGCAATAAATAACACGTCATTATTATATGCGATATGAATATGGGAAAGCTCAACATACGCACATTGGAGGAATTTGTTGTAATTTATCATTAATTGTTGCTTCAGCAAGTATATTATAGGTAAACTAAAAACATTCTCGCTTTCATGATGTACATCTTTCATTGCAGGAAATTGTAAATTGCTAATCGCCAATGATAGAAATCAATTCTTCTAAGATTTCTTTGGAGCATTCCAAACTTCATACTCGAAACTTGCGTTTATTTGTGTACCCATTATTTTTAGATCTAGAGGAACATACATACATAAATTAACCACCAGACAAACAGAAAGCTTGCTAAAAGCTCATTGAATTCGTCTAATAACTCTGCTATAGAGACATTGCATCTCGTAAGAGGCGACTAATCAGGCGATTTGACTTTCGGTTTTACCGACTTGTTTGGGCCTTACACAAAGAAGATCAGGTAGCTAATCTTGAGGAAGGGTTTCCTCAAAAGGAAATGTTGTAAAGTTAAGTGATGGTGGAGATGTTTGCGTGACGCAAAAGTGTGTGAAAAGTTTAGCTTGAGTGTCATGCGGAGTAAACAATTTGATACAAATTTTCTATATGAATTGTAGGTTTCCTCGGTAGACCCTACCGGCCGTGCCACTTCTCGACAATCCGCGTGAACAGTCCACCTTCCGCTTTAAAAATACGCTAAATTTGAAGCACGTGCAAAATGCCATTTGGAGCTAATTTTAACATTTTTCGGTGCACCTACAGGGCGGTTCAAATTCATGGTTCACCATTGGGATCTCCGCCACTGTGAGAGATACAGTGTAGGTTAGGTATATGGGAGCGAAGTTGTGACTAAAAAAAACGCTTTTGAAATTTTTGAAAAATCTGAAACATCACAGAAACACTGAAAATGTCAAATTTCGTTTTCATTTTCCCTATCTTAAACGGTCGGAAACGGACGGTTCCCGTTAGCATCTTCTTCACCCTTTTTTCGGAAAATCTGAATATGTTATCAAAATTTCCATAATACGATAGATGTAGAAGATACAATGCACTACTTTCTTATTTCTTGTGGGCGCCATACTGGTTTATTACGGAATGCGACACTATACTCTTACATAAATTTACAAGGGAAAATTTCAAAATCAGAAGTTTTACGTTAATTTCGCAACAAAACATCCACAGGTAACTAGATCTTGCTGAATTAACATGGCTATGATGATTTTTTGTCCTCTATCTCAAAAATGCAATGGCCTCTATAAGAAATAAGAAAGTAGTAGCCTTATAGCTTCTACATCTAGGGTGCTATTCAGATTCTCCGAAAAAAAGTGCCCATAGAAGGTGAAAACGGGAACCGTCCATTTCCGACCGTTTTAGTTAGGGACAATGAAATCGAAATTTGACATTTTCAGTTTTCCGGTGATAACTCAGTTACCTATTTTCAAAGATTTGCCAAAAATTTCAAAAAGTGGTTCGTTTACATCTCAACAAACAAGACAATTTCACACCGTTACAGAGATCCCAATGGCGCTCCACGAATTTGAACCATCCTGTACATTCATATGGAACAAAGTTGTTATATTTGGAGGAATTGGTCATTAAATTTGTTTTGGTTTTATATATTTGGGGAGCTCATTCCGTTTTCTGGGACGAAAAGGTCGAATTTTCCATAGAAATTAAGGTAGTTATGGCACGCTTTCTTTTTGGATGCGCTTTTTTGAAGGTTACGCCACACTCTATGGTTAAAATTGAAGGTAAATCTCCATTGATAAGAAAGTTGCTATTGCCGAGTCCACGCATGCTCTGCGTTTGTTTTTATTAAAACCAGCTATAGTGCCTATATAAAAAAAAAACAATGTCTTCATAAGTAAGAAACTTGACATAGAATTTATCTTCACTGGTATTGTCTGTGATTAAAATTTAAAAAAAAATACTACATAAATAAGAAAGTTGGCATTGGTTGCGCACTCTGCTATTTTATTTTTGTTTTTGATTTTTGTATTCTTGTCCTGATGAAGCCCCTTGCGAAAGTGACCGAAACGTCGATTTTTCGTTGAACATTAACGCGGTTAATTTATCTTAATACCTGGAAAACAGCTCCTTTTCATTTTTACTTGAAACTTAATTTTTTTTAGTATATTGTGTAAACTACATAGGGGTGTCGTTTATACTCTAGGTTGAAACAATTCCGAAGATGAGAAGCAAACCACCCCGTAGTAAAAAAAAATTACGTTTTGCCAACTAAGGGGAATTTCGTTCAAAAAGACACAGAGTTGTAAAATTTGTTAAAGTGTCACTTTAATGTTAGTTTTTTAAATTTCGAATTTAGAAGGAAATTGTTTAAGTCAATTAATTGTATTTGTTGTATTTAGTGTCATAAATCTTAGAACAAATAAATAAAGGAAATAATTAATTGTAATTTCGATGTAAGGTAAAAATTTTTTTCCGGCCAGAGGTTTTGTAAAGGTGTTATCGGACAAATTAATTGGATTTATTTACTAACAACGTCATGTGCGAGATAACATAGGCAGATGCGGGCGTGAGCTTGGCCGTTAAGTATGAAGAACGACGTTGCTATTTAGCCTAAGTCGGATGTCTCGTCATAATGCTGTTTGCCGGTCGATTTAATAGAAGAGTACATCACTGTTTTTTTTAATTGTCCGTTTTGTAAACGGGTTGTGTGTGTAATAAATTCTTGTAATTTGTTGTTATTAATTAATCAATTGTGTGTCACTTTGAATCACTATTTGAGATCCAGGTAAAATTTTGTTTTCACTATTTGATTTTACAAATTTCTTTTATCCTTTTAATTTCAAATCAAAATTTGAGTAGTTAATTTCATGGTAACTTACAGATTTTGGTTGAGGCCTTTTTCAAACTTATAACAATGTCAATGTTAAGATTTTTGTTTGTGCCGAAACCCAGTTATGCCATGAGAAGAATTCAGGAGGAATTTTAAAAAGATTTTAAAAGAATGCTAGTAATTTGAGCCATTGCACACAGCAATATTAATAAATAAAACAAATCTCTATCCATAGTCCACGTCGCTTACAATTTTCTCCTGAATTTGTTGCATACAAAATTAAATCGGTTTCCTCTGGGAAATGGATACTTCTGAGATCACCCTAGCTCGAAAATTCCCGCGAAAATGGAAAACGCAATGAAATTTTTGCGTGTACTGAATCACTGGTGTTTTTTTATTGTCCATTATATAAATGGTTTTTTTATACTGCCTCCATGAACTCTGCCAACTTAATTTTTACACGTAATATAACTACAATGGCTTTATTCTGCAGCCAGAGATAATTAATCGTTTGTTATAGCCGGCATCCCAAATGTCAAATTCGAATATGAATTTCACCAAACGGTTCACACATCACGGTTGGCGATCACCGAAAACGTTATATCTTGTGCGCTTTCACGAAAGGAAGCTATATTTTTACCAATGAGGTTCCTTGCTAGCGTGCGATCTCACCCGTAGCCATGGATAAGCAGCACCGAATGACTCCGAAAAAAATATTCCGACAAAGTTTCCATCTTAATTTCTTACTGACCAATGAACGCCTACAAAATGGTTTCTTATTAACAAAGTCGGGCATCTTTAATCGTTGATTTCTTTGTTTAGATCCTCTCTACGAATCCCATCAGAGCGTAATAAATCAAATCCCACGTATGACTAACATATATCACGTTGCATTTTCCACGATACTGAAATGATCTTATGCTTAGTCAGCAGTTTGGAGTAGATAAGGCCAATGAAGATATCCATTTTAGCTATAGTTACAACTACATCTCGTCTCCAGGCATCCGGAACCCATTATGAAAACAATGCTCTGCAGAAATTAAAAGACGCAGAACGGACAAGCTTCATTTCACCAAATGCTTAAAGTTTTACTCTTAAAATTCCACTAGCCACATAATTTATTGGAAAATCGGCCCTCTAAATTCCGACACCCTATACATTTTGTATGATATGTAATACCTAACCTGCTCTAATTCTTGAAATTTCAAAAATTTTTAATTTTACCTATCTCCATAAAATTAGAAAATATAAATTCAAATTTAGACCTACCGTTGCATAGTACGTACATTCGTATTGAAAATCTGAACACCAGCTGTTTTTGACGGTCCAGTTAAACTTATCCAATAGGTAACTCCCTGATAGATAATCTTCTATGAAAATTTTCCGTAGAAATTAACTACCAGGTTCAGGTATCTGATTAATTTCCATAGTAACATTGCATCTGCATAGGAGGTTTATTATAATAAGCCTCCAAAGGGGTAATAATATTATCCAAACTTGTTTACGAAATTACAGTCTATGAACCATTGCGCATTGATGGCTTGTGTGATCACATCTTCATAGGGTGAGACGCTAGATCCGTAGTTTGACA